TGGCCCATATTTTAAAAAATAGCATTTTATTCCTTAGCTTCATAATCTCTCTGATATAAAAGAATCATGCTACGAATGTTCAAATATTTTCTCGGATCGTTGTTATATAATTATATGGCACAAATATGACACCGATCCCTGGCACACAGACTTGTTATGTCAATGATGACTGGTCTTAGAATGAATAAGACATTGTGTTCTCATATTTAGTACAGATTGTCTTAAAATGACCCTGAAATAGGACATATCTAAAAAAAATTGAATTCCTTCTTGTTACTGCTCTTATTACTACAACGTTTCGGCGGGTCTATGTACTCCCTTCTTCAGGTGTACAAATCGTAAGAAATATCCGTCTCTTCCCGTCTGGATTGTACAGTTGAAGAAGACTGTAGAATGGATCAACCGAAATATGATAGCAACATTAACAACAATGAATTCAGCCGTTCGTTCGAACAGTTACTGGAATGATAATTCTTTCGATCTCTTCGGATCGTTCTTCAGATAAAAGTTGTATTAGTCAAAATAGAGCAGCAACAATGAAACCAGCACAAAGAATGTGTTCAAATGTCGAAATGAATTTAGACAATATGTAATCATTTCAGAATATTAAAACGCTGCTTTTCATTATGCGATTTGAAACACACGAGTCTGTTCAAATAAATTCACCTGAAGGTTGCACCAGTTAATAAAAAAGAAAAAAATATACTTATAATTATAATAATTATTATTAATAATTATTAAGGAAGAAAATAAAATAAATTATTATTATTATTATTATTATTATTATTATTATTATTATTATTATTATTAGCGACAAAAAACAATTAAGCTAAGCCGAAGGTCACATTGTAAAAATAATTAATTATTATAATAATATATTTAATAGTAATATCTATAAAATATTTATATTTATAAAACGCATGAGATTATTATTATTATTATTATTATTATTATTATTATTATTATTATTATTATTATTATTATTATTATTATTATAGTATTATTAATAATCATAATAATTATTCATAGCAGAAAGTAATGAAAATGACGAAATAATAATAATAATAATAATATTTATATTTATTATTATTTTTATTTTCTTTGATTTCTGGCGTTTACACATTTCTTTCCGGGTCCCGCCCAGGGACCTAAGGTTAGAAATGGCATCATGACACTTTCCACTGACAAAAAAAAAAAATAAATAAATAAATATATTACATAGATAAAGCCCTTCGTAAAGTGTGAGCTGTACTTGTCAGAATAATTTTTTGTATCTCCTTGAGGCATGGACTTCCAGGAATCCCTTTAATTAGTCTACTGCAATCTTTTCCAACCAGTCCTAGGGCTCCAACTACAACAGGGATTGTTGATGTTCCCATATGCCACATTTTCGAGATTTCTATTTCAAGGTCCTTGTACTTTGACAACTTTTTGAATATCTTCAAAGATACATTGCAGTCAACATTGACTGCCATATCAATAAGGAGGCATCGTTTTTGTTTGTGGTCTTTAATAACAATATCTGGGCGGTTGGCTTTTGATTGTTCTGTCAGTGTGTATTGTGTAATCCAATAGAATTGTAATAGGTCCTATCTCCGTAACCGGGTCTGGGTGGTGTTCATACCATTTATTATTATTATTATTATTATTATTATGTTAATTTATTAATATATCATTATTAATTATAATAATTATTTATGATAGTAATTTATCAGTATATTTGATATATTTATGTGCAAGAATATTCAATATTGGGAAGAGAGCGTTTGTAGACATGCATAATGTTTAGAAATCCAAGATCCCCTTCTAATTTTAGTCATTAAAAATATTAATAATTAATAATAGTAGTTAATCTTATTACGGTTACTACTACTACTACTACTTCTACTACTACTACTACTACTTCATATTACAGTCATAACAGATTTAAAAAAAAAGCAATCTGCCAATTATCTGATATGACCTTCCAACAAGATTCTAATGTTTCTAAAACAGTATTTAAAAAAACTGTCAAAGCATCGAAATGTGGAAACTTAAAACTACGATTATCCCTGTTGTGATAGGGCACTGGTTATCATAAACAAGGGTACCGAAAATCATGTGATTACAATTCCTGGACGCATCGGCACCTCAGAGCTGCAAAAGATTACTTTGATTACATATCATCCACAAAACTGTGTCCATGTAAACGAAACGACCCAAATGTGCATAGATAACTCTCCGACAGCGCCCATTTTACTTGCAAAATAGACAAGAGTAAATTATTCTAGTAAGATAAGCCGAAGGTCACAGCAGTTAAAACATAGTCCTGCAATGAAAATCAACATCGAAAGGTTATATTTATTTATTAATCTAACCCTGTTCAACTTCCTTGACATTTTCTCTTTTTATGAGTAACGATATTTGATCTGTGAAAAAAGGCTTATCGACTATTCAGATTTTGACTGGAAGTATTAAATAAAAAAAAAATAAAAAAAATGGATGTAGTTTTTTTTTTTTTTCTAGTGATTAGTATGAACGGATTACCACTTAAAACCAAGCTCAGGATAGCAATGGGAGGATGAAACACCATTATATATTCAATAATGAGCGACTGATACATACATTGGGTGGAGGGGGGGCATTATTTTATTCACGGCTTTTACACCAATTGTGTCTGGTGCATGTCACTGGGAATCAAGAGACAGCAAGTCTCTTCAATATTAAAGCATTTTTTAAATTATTCTTTATGTGTTTTCGCACCGGTGACAGTGGTGGCAACAAGTCTTCTCCTTAAATATTCTAATTGATTTTAGTAAAACTGTTGTTGGGACGATTTCGAGTTTTTTTTTTTTGATTTCCACTTATTCCAACAGATTTACAAGGCTATTTGGGACACTTTCAGACACGCTAATAATGTTGGGTACAACTGTTACTTTTATATTCTACAGTTCTACACTCATTACCATTATGGATATTCACTTTTACTAAATAAAATATTACTCAGTTCTGACTGATGAAAATAATACTCAGTTCTGATTTTGCTCAGTTGTCACACTTAGAAATATTACTCAGTTGTGATAGATTCAAATATTACTTATCTGCGACAGATTAAAATATTACTCAACTGTGATTATTACACTGTTGTGGCAGATTAAAATAGGACTCAGTTTTAAGAGGTTAACACTTAGTCAGTTCTAAGAGGTTAAATATTACTCAATTCTATAAGGTTAAATATTACTCAGATCTAAGAGGCTAAATATTACTCAGAATATTAAGATATTATTCTGATATGACAGATTAAAGTAAAAAAAAAACACATTCTAAGATTATATACTAAAGTTTGACGAAGTAAAACTGACAAATTGTCTCGAAAAAGACCTCCAGTCAGTGGTAAACTTGGGCAAAGAAAAGTCTTATGAACGTTAACACCACCAAAATAAAACTGCTTTAATTTAATCACAATAGATAACCTTTTTTGCCTGCCACCAGCATGGCTAATGCTAACCTCCAGAAGACCAACTCTTTACGACTTCTTGGGCTCAGGTTTTCTAGTGACATGAAGTTGAACGATTGCATTGAATCAATTGCTAGGTCTACTGCACGAAATGATGGTTCGCTGTGTCGTGCCAGGCAATTTTTCTCGTCAGAATCCATCTTGGATATTTATAAATCTACCCTTCGTCCGTGCATTGAATATTGCTGCTATATATGGCCGGTGCTCCTACTATATATCTCAAGATTCTTGACAAGGGTCTGTAATGTATTCGATCCTGACCTGGCATCTCGGCTTCAATCACTTTGTCGCTGATGTGATGTGCCTTCTCTCTGTCTTTTCTACAAATATTTTCATGGCAATAGTTCTGAATACCGGTGCCTCAACTACATGAATTTAAGTGTACTACTAGATTGGCAAATAGGTATAACCGTTTTACTGTGGAACAAGCTTAGATGCAACCGTATGTCCTATTCTAATAGTTTCTTTACTCGCTATTCTCGAGTGTGGAAATCCTTTAGGATTTCTTTCTTCACTGTCACCTACAATCTTAAAAAAATTAAATGTAACGCCAATTGCTATTTTCTGATTTTTTTTAAAGCCTGTTCTTTTATTGTCTTTTCTCCTCACTAATGTCTTCTCATTCTCTTTCATTCCTAGTGGCATTATCGCCTTGCTTGGGGTGAAATTAAAAAGTTATTTAATTAATTTTATTTCAGTAACTTCAGAGACCACCATTATCACAATAACATGTTACAATTGATATTTACAATGATTTTGTTGTGTTTGTGACATTTGACAACTTAATTGATAATTATTTGTGCAAGGGCATGAGGTATGAAACAGGAATAGATGCTGTTAACGGTTACTTATATATATATATATATATATATATATATATATATATATATATATATATATATATATATATATATATATATATATATCGGTCATTATTATTATATATATATATATATATATATATATATATATATATGAGATACTAATATATATTTTTATATAACAAGAGCAGTATAGCCAAAATTGTATGACAAAGTGGAACAGTTTACTTGTGACGCATTTTCGTCTGGTGAACTGCAATTACTGCAATTAGCCACGTATAGATCAACTTATCACAACAAACCAAAGTGATACACATTGATATTTTTGGATAACACCAAAATATAATCGTAACCAGATGCATCCTAACTATAAACAAGATGAAAAAGGCATTAAAATATTATTTGCCGATATAAAACAATTATTGATCCTAAGAAATCCCTTAGAGTTATCATTTATTACAAAAATTTAAAACGTCTAATCTAATTCTTAGAAATAATTCAGCACCTCAAAAACCGTCTAATACAAGAAATGATGTTATTTATTTTTTTCATGTCCTTTAAGAGATTGTACCTCCAACAATAATAATAATCAACAGACAATATCAAGTTCTTACATTGGACACACACACTTGTAGTTTGAATTGCCCTTTGTTAAAATTTAGTGCGATTCGCGTACATATAGATCAGCACACACACATACATACACACACAGATATATATATATATATATATATATAGATAGAGATAGATAGATAGATAGATAGATAGATAGATAGATAGATAGATAGATAGATAGATGTACTAAAGTAATTCATCGAGTCTAGAAGAATCCTCAACAGAATGCATAAAGCACTGGACGTTTCGTCCTAATTTGTCTCATCAATTTGGGAGAATCGAACCCGGACCGTTCCGATACAACATACCCCCATGTTAGATACGATGCAAGCGTCATAATTAAGAGGTAACTAATTAGACTCGATATAGCGTCGATCTCACTAAATTCCGTGGTGTAACTCATCCAAGTATACTTAACCCAACGGATTGTGCCTTCGCGTGCCACGTCTTCTTTCCCCAAACCCTCCCTCCAGAGCATTAGAAGCCGGTTCAAGCAAGGATATTTCATTCATATATATATATATATATATATATATATATATATATATATATATATATATATATATATATATACTACCGTGCCAAAAGTCAAGAGATAATATGTAAAGGTAATGGTGGGTTGCACTACTACACCTTGACGCCTAGGAATTACCCAGATCTATACCAGTTGTACTATGACATCTGTGCGAAAACTGGCTAGACCACTTGGGGTTCTAAGTTTTCATGCTAGTGAGTGTCTGGTGGATGGGATATTCCATTTTTGAAATTGTAAGAATATTTGACATCCCTTCATCTACAGTGTGACGTGTTCACAGGATATACCTTATGGAAATAATTGTCGCTCACTGTGAACAATGCAATGGCCAACCACTGGTCCTTAAGGATCGTAAACCGGAATTATCTGGCTGGAATTGTATCAAATAACAGAGATGCGAGTTCTGGTCAGCTCAGTGGTGTGTGGGATATAGGAGAAGAGGAGCCACCGGGATGCTTATGCTAACACCTTGGCACGTGCCATCGCTAATTGCTCTATGGAGGACTGATAACGTCATTCGTTGTCCGATGAGTCACTCTGTTCCGAGATGAAATAAATTCTCGTCATAAACAAACGATGATATTTAATTCCAGGTTAAAAAGTGAAAATAAAGGCGAAGAAAACCTATCAATTTCTACAGGTGTCGAGCGTACGTTTCAAAGAAAAAGGAAGAGAAACCCTTCCTAAAGATTATGTTAAGAGCGATGAGATTGAAGTGAATAAATATCTAGGATGAAAGCGATTCTTGTTTTATTAAAACAATTCGTTTTTATGTTCATCGCTGAGAAAAAAAATGACTGAAGGCAGAAGAAAAAGAAAAATAGAGAAGGATGATGATGATGATGATGATGAAGAAAAAGCGAAAATAATGAGGAGAAAGAGAAAGAAGAAAATAAAGGAGAAGAGAAAAAAGAATAAAGAAAAATAAAAAAAAATAAAAAAAAATTAAGAATAGAAAAAATAGAGAAAAAAAATCTTATAAAGGAGAAAGGAAGAGAAGAAGAAAAGGAGAAAGGGGCATATAAAATGGAAGAGGCTAATAAAGACGAAAAAAAGAGAAAAAGCAAAGAAAAAAAAAAAAAATAAAAGAGAGGTAGGAGAAAAAGAGAAAGAAACAGCAGATGAAAAGGCGATAAAGCACTAATATGGCGGATAAAGAAGGAGAAAAAGGTGAAGAAAAAAGAAAAATGTGGTTAAAGTGATGAAAAAGGAAGAAAAGAAGTAGAAAATCGAAAGAATATGAAATAATATTGCAAATGAAGAAAAAGAAGAAGAAGAAAGAAAGAAAGAAAGAAAGAAAGAAAAAGAAAGAGAAAAGGGAAAAAGAATAGGGAACAGATAAAATGGAAGAGCTAAATAAAGAAGAAAAAAAACAGATGAAGAAAAAATAACAAAGAACAAATGAGAAAAATAAAAAAGGGGCGAGGAAGAGAAATCAGAAAGTAGTTGCATATGAATAGAAGCAGCAAATAATGAACGAAAAGAAAAGAGCAAAGGGAGAAAATAAAAAAGGAGAAAGGTAACAAAAGAACGACAGATGAAGAAGAAGAAGAAGTAGCAGTAGAAAAGGCGGTATTATTATTATTAGTAGTAGTAGTACTTTTAAAAGAAGACGAAGAAGATAAAAAAGGACAAGTAACAAATAATGAAAAAGAATAAAGCAAAGAAGACGACAGATCAAGAAGAAAAAAAGACGAAGAAAATAGGAAAAGAAGAAAAACGAAAAAAAAATAGCTGAAAAAAAATGGAGAATAAATAATAAAGAAGAAAACAAAAAGCAAAAAAGAAGATGGTATCTGGTATTGATTTGAAGTCAAATTCATTTCTTCAAAATATGTCATCTTCAACCAACTTGAGAGCCTGACGAATTGAACCTCCCATCCATACTTCTACTGAGCAATCAATGATGACAAGGAAAAGGCGAGTGTTTAGAGCACGGCTGAAGCCATCTTGGTTGTTAGTTTATCAATATTTCCAGACCCACATTACAACTGACCTAAGTACGATTCCATGCCAAAGTGAATACATTTGTTGCATTGAAAAGTGCTTTTATACTTACTTTGTGTATGTTAAACATATATTAATAAATACAATTCAAAAGGCATTTTTATTCTTTCTCTTATCGTTCTGTTTACTATGGATATATTATAAATACATTATTTATTCTTTGGATGTGATTCTATCGGCAAATGCTGTGAATACCATGAACAAAACATGGCAACGGAATCAGAAAGAAATAACTGAAATCCAAAGGGGCATAGGGATAAAGAAATTGCCTTTCAGAAGTGTTATATACCGTACCTATGAACACTAATGGGTGTGTCCTAATCCTCATAAATACATTATACACTATTGTAAGTGGGGGTAATATGCTGTCTATGTAGTCCGCCACTAGCAGTGGTTTACCTACTTCACGCCGTTAGCGAGTATTGTATTTTGTTGATGTTATAAAGATTACCATTTCATTTCCAACCACCATTTTGGTTATTCCTTATTCAGTAACCCTTTCTAGGCAACAACAACATGTATATAAACCTAGCCATGCCATGGACACCATCTTCATTCCATTTGTATTCCATACAGTTAGATTAAGAAATTGTAGGATATTATATATGAAAGAGTTCTTTCATGTTGGTTGTTTGATATAGTTTGGTGGCATATCAAACTCTAGGCGTTATTTAATGCTGAAATCTAAATGTTTTGTGCGTAATTTTATGCTTTCAACTAAAGATATTTTGTACATAGTTTTATACCTTTGTTATATACCGTACCTATGAAGACTAATGGCTATGTTCCAATCTTCATAAATACGTTGGACACTATTGTAAGTGGGGGTAATATGCTATCAAAGTAGTCCATCACTAGTAGTGGTTTACCTATTTCACGCCGCTAGCGAGTATTGTATTTTGTTGATGTTATAAAGATTAACATTTCCTTTCCAACCTCCGTTTTTGGTTATTCCTCATTCACTAGCCCTTCCTAGGTTTTAACAAGTAGCTAAGCAAGAGATAGGAAAATTTCGAAAGAATGTAATATCTGATATCCGATATGAAGCTGTCCAGTCTTCACTTTTCAGTCTCGAATTATTTTCCACCCTACAAGCCCTTTCCCACCTTTCGCATATCTATCGATATTTCCATGGAAAGTGTTCAGACGAACTACATTCCTTAGTTCCACCAGTTCTAATCTTCACGGCTAAGGCACACGCCATGCCACGCCCATTGTAGCGAACCATCCTCATTTCTTTTGTATTCCTCGATCATTATAATCTTAAGCCGTCCCAGTCTAAGGTTAACCGTTATCTTCCACACACTTATCCTTTACTAAGAGTGGCTCTTGGACATTGTACAGAATGAACGTCATTGTAAAAAAATGGCAGTGAATGCTGAAATATCTCATCAGAGAGAGAGAGAGAGAGATGAGAGATAGAGAGAGAGAGATGAGAGAGATAGATAGAGAGAGAGATGAGAAAGAGAGAGAGAGAGATAGAGAGAGAGAGAGATGAGAAAGAGAGAGAGAGAGAGAGAGAGAGATGAGAGAGAGAGAGAGAGAGAGAGAGAGAGAGATGAGAGAGAGAGAGAGAGAGAGAGAGAGAGAGAGAGAGATAGAGAGAGAGAGAGAGATGAGAGAGAGATAGAGAGAGAGAGATGAGAGAGAGATGAGAGAGAGATAGATAGAGAGAGAGAGAGAGAGATGAGAGAGAGAGATAGAGAGAGAGAGATGAGAGAGAGAGAGAGAGAGAGAGAGAGAGAGAGAGAGAGAGAGACTTCAATCGACAAAGATGTAGTTCTATCAATGGATACTGAGAATACCATGGACAGAACATGTGAACATCGAGGACGTTTCAAGGAGAATATTAATTATTCTTAACAATCAGAAAAACAGGGTTGAAATTTTGGGGACACAAGATAAGGAAAGACTGTTTACAGAATTGATTGATCATAGGACATATCAAAAGCAATAAAAGCAAGGTGAAACTGCGAGTAATCAACCTTGATGTGTTTGTGTGAATGTTAGTCATATTTGTACCAGAAAATTCTGTACCTGGTCGACTGTTCTAGAACGCATCATCATCATCAACAACAACAACAATAATAATAATAATATAATTATCTTAGTTTCATGAATTAAGTTTCGGAGTAAAAATCTGTAAAGAAAAAAAAATTGATACACCCTAATGTATAATAACAATATTAATATTATTGGAGTTATAGATAGTATTTACATGTGTATCGGAAAGAAACTTTAAAAATATACCTGAATATCTCTACCCTATCTATCTATCTATCTATCTATCTATCTATCTATCACTACTACTAATAATAGCGTCAGGACGGTATAAATGCAAAAACTGAAAAATTCCAGGAAAACTGCAATTCATTCTACCTATGGAAAAAAGTACGGGATAGGTAACCTCATGGTCAGCTGGTTTAAAAAGAGTATAAAAGTAGATATGAGTGAGCTTAAAGTGTCATACACTGGGAATTGCGCAAAAGATATAATTTGGCGATGCAAACAGCTAATATAACAAAAAACAAAACAAAACAAAAAACAGACGGTGTTCTAGAAAAAAAGACGGACCACAGAATGAAGACAGAAGCGAGCAAACAATTGGAAAAAAAACCCTGCTCATTCTCTACGAACAAATAAAATGGAATGTGAAATTTCAGGACGTGCCCATAGTAACTGACGCACTTTGAACTATGTCAAAAACACTAGAACCAAGATTGGATGGATTAGACATTTAAAAAAAAAACTAAGACTGTTCACACGAAACCATTACTGGTGTCTGGAAGGATGCTGAGCAAGGTGCTACAAAATTGCTGTCACTCAATCTTTAGCAAAGAGTTCTTAATATCAAGTGTAAACACATAAATGTATAAAATAATAATAATGAATTTATGTCCAGTTGCTACACCTGGCATAGCTTTTGATTATAACGTACATATTTTGTCTTTTGAATTAAGATAGGATACAATGAATATCCCGTTCAATACCGCATATTTACTTGTTATATTCCTGAAGTTGGATTTATCTACCTGGGACTGACGCACTGTGCGTCTCTCTTTGTGATCGTGTGTAGAGACGGTTGGTTTATTAAGTTTGAGGGACGAAGCACACTTGGGAGTCACATCTCGATACTAGGGAATACCGTATTGCGCACGTTTGCCTATGATGCATGTGCCTTGTATGATCTTGTCATGAGTCACTTGTCTTGAGTTCAATGATGAATATATTAGACTTTGAATATTTGTACCCAAGTATCACTTTGTCCCTCTCTCTATTATTAATAATAATAATATTGTAGCTCAGGACCAAAGCCTCGCAACCAGATCCTATCACGCTCGCATAATTAAGAATGAAACTAACCCGAAATGCAGAATCTGCGGAAAATATGATGAAACTGTCTCAGGATGAAACATCTCAGGATGTCCGGAACTGGGAAAAAATGAATATTATCAGAGACATAACAAGGTAGCAACATATGTGCATTGGAAGATATGCAAGAAGCACAAAATCGAAACCACTGAGAGATGAGCACCAACCTGACACAGTTATCCAAATTAACGATGTAACTATGCTCTGGGACATGCCAATTCAAACTGTCAGGGAAATAAAAAATAAAAGCCAACAGACCTGATATTATCATAAAACACAAGAAATTCAGGAAGTGTATGCTTATTGACATAGAGAGAGAAACACCTCCATGAAAATTATCGAGAAATTGTCCAAATACAAATACCTGTAGATTAACAGGGTGTGGGGAATGAGGACTGAGATAGTAATTGGAGCTCTGGCCATAGTGAGAAAAGGAATGGACAATTTTACTAACAGTGTCCCAGGTAACATCAACATACAAAATTGTTCAGAAGGTGGCCCTACTAGGAACAACCCATATACTAAGAAAAGTTCTATCAATTAAATGACAATTCTCGAACAGTACCTAAGGACCATAGATTGAACCCACCTCTACAGGATACAAAGCAGGAAACATAACACGCAAACAACGACAATAATAATAATAATAATAATAATGATAATAATAATAATAAACAATGAAAGCAGAATATAATTCGCAAAATAAATTAACTACCATAAATACACTTTTCCTGTCTGATTTAATTTAAAGCTTTAACATAATTGGAATTTGAGTAAAATCAGAGTTTTCTTTTTTGAAAATATTAACTTGTCATAGAATGAACCACTCGTAAACGAACTGTATTTATCCAGAGACAGTTGTGGCAGGGGAACGATACAACTTGAATTGACACAAATCAAGACCAATTGTATTAAACAATTATCTTAAAAGACAATGAAGATAGGACTTCTTTTAATCATTTCATCAATAACAAGGCGTTAATGTCACTAAGACACAAGGAGTTACAGGGAAGGAAAGAGAATAAGAATTTAATGAGGAGAAATGACAATAAAATAAACTTCAGAGAGACGGAAAATGGCTATTGACACTGCATATAAATTTTTGAAGATTGGAAAGTAATAAATCGGAAGAGAGTCCCACAGGTGAGAAGTGCGAGAGAAGAAACTATTAGAATAGAACTTACGGTTGCAGCTATCTATTTCAACGATGAGACCTAGTAACCAAGGAAATAATACGTTTAAATTTATGGGATCAAGATACCAACGAGGAAAGCTCATTAGAATAACTCTCATGAAAATATTTATAGAAGAGACAGAGGAAAACCACGTCACAGCGGTGAGGAAATGATTGAAGCCGAGATGCCAGGTCATGACCGATAACATTACAGTACCTTTTTTGGATTTTGTCGAGAATTTCGAAATAAAAGTAGTTTACAAACGTCAA